AAATGAAATAATTCATTATAAAATCCCTAACACAGTGCCTGAATTATGATGGACGATGAATGTTTGATACAGAGCAGGTGGGGGGGGGGGCCAGAAATAGGGTTCCCTTTTGGCTGATCTCATTAGAGAAAATGCACAAGTATTTTCAAGGAACCACAACAGTCATGCCCTTCTCCATGTTATTTTAATACATAAAAAAACACTTCTGAAAGATATTATTAATGCTATACTTCAGAAAATACCCTCTTATGTATATGATCTAATCCACATCAGCATAAAAAACAGTAATCAAAAGCTATATTTCTGACATAATTTTTAAAATAATAGGCAATTAGTAATGTTTCCTTTTTTAATTTACAAAAAAAATTACCAGAGTTTGCATTTATAATTCCAATGGTTATTACTTAAGAAAGAAGTTAAAACAGACAACAGACCAAAACTAAAAAGTGTATCCCAAGGGAACTTAAACAGTAGAAAGGTGGAGAATAAGTAAAGCTGAAGTTAACTTGCCTTAGGCAAGACTCTCATCAATGTGTACCTGACAGAAGAATGAATTTAAAGTTCCCTGATGAGATCATCCCACCCATGGATCCCTGAAGTAGGAATTGGGAAATAGTTTATCAAATCAACTATACAGCACATTTAGCTCAATACAGTTTGAGAAACATTTAAAGAGAATATAGATTTGCAGTATTTGTAAATATTTCCTGTCTAGTCTGGAGCAACCAGGTTTCACTTAACTAGGGGTCTTCAGCGTACTTTCACATCTAACTGTGCACAATATACAAAAAAAAATACATTGTAAGGAATTAGAACCAGACTGAAGAAATAAGACCAATACATACAAAAAGATTCCATGGTGCAAGTATAAATAAAGTATTATTTATGCAAGAAGAACCAAGAAAGCTTTAGAAAATGCATGGATTGAATTTGGTGGAGGGACCAGTGTAAGACAATGACAGAGGCTAACTAATACATGGACTTACAGAAGAAACTGGATTGAAGTTAAATGATCAGAAATTCAATGATCAGAATATTGTATTTGGAACCGGAGTGCAAAAACCTTGCATACCACCATAAGGGATTTGAGCTTTTTTGCATACACTACAGTTTATGAATAAAGGGAGATGAAGAATGAAAGGTTTAAGTTAGGAATATTAATCTCACATAATGATTAAAATGTAGAGTAAGTGGAAAATAGTCCAAAAAGTTGCTGGATTTAATTACAGAAACAGTTTATGAGACCGGGATCATTATAAAAACTTACATCCACCCAACCTGTAGTAGAGGTAAATTACATTTTTTTTTAAAGGAGAGAGAGAGCTCACCTACCATAATACTCCAAGTATATTCCCCAAAGTAAACATGAGATAGGAACAATGATTCCACATTCCCTCAGTCACTTTCTACTGCCTCTCACAGCTTGAACATCACAAGTCTAATATTAAACGTATGTATGCTTTTCATACCCTAGTTATCAGTGCACCACTTCAAGTCCTCCACCAAAGAAAACAGTAATCTGCTCTAGCACTGGAGGAAAAACTGGCTGTGTTAGATCGGATGAAAGACAATACTATACTGAACTTTATGTGCTACTTAAGAAACTGTATAGACTAATTTTGGCTCAATTTTTGCTTCACATACTGACTTTAAAACTAATCCCTACTTAATAATGCCTTTTCCTCATTTTAAGCATATCAAACATATTGGAGGTGGTACAACAGGGGTTTAGTTCAACACAATGGAGGGCAAAAAATTTCTTAAAAATAGTGAAATGTTTCAGGAAGCTAAAACCACACAAATAACAACAAGATCTCTGAGGCTGGGTAAGGTTACAGGAAACATGAGCACGAAGTACAAGACGTCATCCACAGAGCTTTCTGGTATAAAAATAATAATCAGGCTAGAAGGCAGCCATAAAGATCTTATGAGCCTATCTTTTTATTTTCCCACATAGCCAATAAAATCCTTTCTCCCTGAGTCAATATTTTGAAACAGTACTATAAAATTGTGCAAACCTATTTATTAAAATGTCTTTTATATCAGATTAACACTTGCTAAAAATCAGACTAACATAATTTCTGTGATAGGAATGTTTTTACTTTTAAAGTACAAACTTGTATCTGCTTTGCCTAACTGGTGAAGTATTTCCGAGTCATGTGTTTATTTATCTAATACCTCCTAAGCACCTATTATGTGGCAGGCACTGTGCTTGATGCTGCAAGTACAAAAGTGAAATAAAATATAATCCTCATTCCCTTCAAAGAGTTTATAATCTAATAAAAGAAACATACTAAATTAGTATAATCATGTTATAATCAAAGTATACACAAGGTACCACAGAAGAAAAACAAGGGGGTCAGGCAATGCTTTTTCAACTATTAAAGTGAATTTGGAAGTCAAGTAAAAGTGAAAAGCTGTGTTTCCTAAACTTGACAGTGTATCAGAATCACCTTCAGAGCTGACGTCTGGACCTCACTGCATATTTAACAAATTGGAATCTTCAGCAGTGCAGCTAAGAAATCAGTATTTCCAACGTGCACCACAAGTGATTCAGAATCACAGCCAGGTTTGAGTAGCACTGAACCAGAAGAATAAACAACCATTCCAGACAGAGATAATAGCTCAGTGTGGTCAGAGAAGGTGAAACACAGACAGAAGATCAGAGAGAAACCAGAACAAAAGTAGTGACATGGCTAATGCAACATTTCAAACAGGATCTATGGAACTAACAAACTGAGGTGAACTTGCATAACATGAATCACAGGTGACATGCACTTTAGTAAATGATTTCTGACATGAACTAATTTCTCACTGAAACATGTGGGAAAACTAAATGCAAATACTTTGCATTTCAAAACAAAGGTAAAATGCTCCTTTAAAAAGCAAACCAAGTTTTTTAAAACCCAGAGTTCTACTCGTAAATGTCATTAAATATAGTGACCATCATTTTTCTCAGGATACATACTGTAATGACAGAAGTTATAATAATGTTGTTTTAACTTGAAAAGATTCCATAATGCATAACATAAATTCAAACCATATTTTAAAATTCACCATTCTCAATTATTTTAAGTTTCCAAGCTGTTATTTCATAATAATTTCTTATTTTCTGAATAAAAATTTACTTATATTTTTATATTTAATTCTGGGTAGAAGTAAAGTGGGACAAGTCATCAGACAGGAATATTCACCATAGTACGTGAAAAGCCACATAGACTTTTTTCTTTGATTTCTGTTTGTTAAATAACAAACTGTTTAAATCCCCAATTCATTTCCCAACAAAGACTTTATAAACAGAGATATAGACAGGCAATCATTTGCAACAAGAATAAGCTTTTAAAGAATATTCTTCAGAAACCTAGGGACAAACCTACTAATTATAATATATAAAATACATCCTATAGTTATATTCTACTCCTAAAAAGTTCATCTAAAACTTACTTCCACCACTTAAACATTTCCTGATGACTTATAAAGCAAAGAAAAATTCATTTACCACAGTGAAAACTATTGCCAAACCATACACAGTAGCACCCTGGAGGAGTGCATATGGTACAGAAGCATCAAGGGTTAAAAACCAAAGGATGAACCGTATGACCTACTAAGGAGAACCAAGTGTCAAATCATAACTGGCTAATTACAAGAATACCTGTATACTCGATATAACAAATCATCCTGTTCCAGACTTAATTTAATGTATTTTTTTTAAATGGTAATATTATAGAGTTGCCTTATTTTCTACTTAAAATACAGGAATTAAATTATAGTTCTTGTCAGCTTCTCAGGCTAAGATGATATATTTACATGGAATAGAACTTTGTTTCCTGAGGCATTCACTGCTGTTCTACTCCTGCTGCACTTTCCACACAGCTCTATTTGCCTTCATTGCAAGTACCTGAATTCTGCAAAAAGGTAACATTATTACCACATAATAGCTGAGGAAACAGGCTTAGCATGACCAAGTGACTTAACCAAAATCACCACTAAACCCAGACTTCAAGTTCAGATTTGTCTGACTGCTAAGTTCTTTACACACTGCGTCACAGGTAGAGAGGAACATAGGACTAAATAAATCAAAGTTAACTGAACTGACTGCACTTTCTTCTACAACTGCTTTGGTAGTAGCAAAAACAGATCTATCACATCTGAAAACCAAACGCAGAGGACATGTATCCAAGGGTGGAGGTGTGGGGGTTCTGCCTAGTACCTGAACTCCCTCATGGAATTAGGAAATATCCTACTTCATGAGTCCTCATAGAAGGCAGAGCCACTTCCCTACAAAGCTGGCAACGCCACACAGTTGTTCTTCCCATTACTCCCTCCAACCATCCCCACCCCAGCCCGACATAAGCACTTACACTGTACTCTGCCAATGACATCTCTCCAAGGGCTCTAAATTAAGAGCTACAGACTGTAAGAAGCTGGGACAGGAAAGGTTGGATTTTAATAGTAGGCAACAGGGCCCACATTAAGTTTCCAAAGTCAATGGCAGGAGCTCAGCAGTAGCTGAGTGTAGATTTCAGCAATTACGCACTGCATTACTGTCACTGGGCTGGTTTCATGTCAGGAATTTTATGTCTTCTCTGCTACCTAGTCTTCCTTGTTCCTGACTACTGAAAACTACACCTTCCCATCAGTTTGGTGCACTAATCAATATGCTTTCAGTAAATTCCTTTTCCACTTGAATTAGGCAGAATTGTCCTTTGTTGTCTGCAATTAAAAACACACACTGAGGCACTTAATGATTAAACAAACGATACTAAACAATTATACTTTATCAAATCGTTTTACCTTAGTATTGACTGTTATTTTATATAATTTGCCTTTCTTAAGCAAGTTACCTTGTATATGATGGCACGTTCTAACAACAATAAAAAAAAAAACTTCAAGTTTCCGTATCTTTTTTCAGAAGTAACACAAAAATGCAAATATAATAACAATCACCTAAGGGTGATTTTCACTGAGGTTCAGAGTTAAGCTTTATTAAGAATTCTTACCTGTCAGGAATACCTAGCCGCTTCACACTTCTATAAACAGAAAGAGTATTTGCAACATGTCGATAATTAAACCAGAATCGGGATGTACACACCTAAAGTATTTAAAAAAATGTATTATTTTTATGAATCAAAAAAAGCCACGAAGTTACACAATTATTTCTCCTTAGATAGAACACAGATATGCCTAAAGAAAGAGTATATAATCAGGCTTAGAAACAGTAAAGGATATAAAGAATTGTCAACAAAACCAATCTCTCTAGAAGAGGTCTTTCATAACTAGTATTAAATAAAAAGACCACTTAGCTTAAGAGAAAACAAATCTTTGGCAAATTCAATCACATAGTAAACCAACTCATTTACCCTCAATTTATGTGATTCTATAATGTTCCTGTTTCTAAAAGATTAAATTCTTTAAAATCAAAGACAGCGCACATAAAATCTCTTCACATGATAGGAAAAATTGGCTACCTTGGGTTATGTAATATTTCTTTTACTCTGGAATTCTTCCTAATTTTATTTGTAAAAAATGTAAAATAGAGACTAAAACACAACATACAAAACAGTTATGTACATAAGAGAATGCATTATAAAGCTGCTGAACTGAACAGAAAACTAGAAACAATTTACACTAGCTTTATGCTCAAAAAAACCTCACTAGTAGAATGTTCTGCAATTATTTTTATATTGATATAGTAAATTCAAGCTCTAAAGTGACACAAAATGGCATTTCAAAAAAATAAACAAAGAACCATTCCTAAAAATGGTATCAAAGGTACTAGAAAAATCTAATACCATGCCTCAAAAGTCAGCCCCCTTGAGAATCCATTCCAACAGAGGCAATAGAGATTGGGGTCAGTTGCCTGAATTCCCGTACCTACCTCCTTTACACTCCCACTGTATTCTTAGCTTCCCATTTTCCTGCCTTTTCAAAAACAGTTACTGGCTTGGAAACGCTACACATTCCTTGCTCCCTTCCTTTTTCACAAAAATCAGCTTCCTTTCTTGCCTCTCTGTATTTCCTTATCCTTTCTTCCAGTGGACCCTTTCATACAGTTTTCTCAGTAAGTCAAATTTATTGTATCTTCTAATCATGTAAATATCATTAAATGAATCTCCAGTAACAAAAGTACTATCCAAATACTTACCAAGCCCAAGTATTCTATTTTGCATGTATTCTATTTTGGAAATTAAAAATACAAATTTATGAATCCATGTAAGTTAAAGATAAGTTAAAGATAACAACGAAAAAATGGCAAAAGAAAAAAAATAAGCTGATAAGCAAAACTTACTAAGAATAAAAATAATGCAGATTAAAACAAAATTTAATTTGTTGCCCGGTGATCAAAAAGAAAAGCTAAAAATTAGTAATGCACAGTTGACCTGAGATTACAAAAAGAGGTACAGCATTTTCAGAGGGCAATTGTGCTCCCTGACTTCTCAGCCTTATACCTACGAGTTTATCCTAAAAAGAAAATCAGGCAAGGTCACAAAGATGTATGCATAAGGATGTCCAACACAGCCCTGTTTAAAATAATGAAAAATTTAGAATCTAAATGCCCATGAACTAGAAATTATGATACAGTCATAAAAAAGAAAAAAATACATGCTTTGGAAAAGATAATGTATCTCCATATCTACTGGCAGGGAAAGATTCCCCAAGATATACTGCTATGGGGTTGCAAAATAGCAGGTATAATAATATGATCCCAGTTACATAAAAGCATCTATCTTTATGCTTATATATGACAAGAGAAGAATATTCACCAAAATGTTGATTCTAGCATGTGGGACTTGAAGACATTTCGATTTTTTTTCAATTGAGGTGAAATTCACATAAAATAAAATTAATCTTGTCTTCTAAATTTTTCTGTATAATTTGAATTTTCTACAATGATCATATGCTTTTATAAAGAGAAAAAAATCTTTTTTAAAGATTTATTTTTAGAGAGGGAAGGAAGGGAGAGAGAGAGAGAGAGAGAGAGAGAGAGAGAGAGAGAGAGGGAGAGAAACACCAATGTGTGGTTGCTGGGGGTTATGGCCTGGAACCCAGGCATGTACCCTGGCTGGGAATCAAACCTGGGACACTTTGGTTCCCAGCCCACGCTCAATCCACTGAGCTACGCCAGCCAGGGCGAGAAAAAAATCTTTAATAAAAATAAAATAGCCTAAGTAGAGACTATCGATAACCTAATATTATAAATAAGAAATACAACCACTAGTTTCTATCATTAAAATAACTCTTCATTTTACATAATGCTTCCTTTAAAAGTAGCACCTCTGACTTATTGTTATAGTTATTAACACATTACCATTTGACAGATATATGAAGGCAAAGAATATTACTAATTGATATGGTCAATTTAAAGTATAGCAAATCAAAATAAAGACTTTCTAGTAAAAAATATAATAAATTTTATTTTCAAAAAATTGATCCACACAAAAATTTCCCAGACATATATCTAAGGTGAACAGCACAGTATACCTTTACAGAATATACATACCAAAACAGCCCAGTTGTTTGTGTGGCCACTTCTAAAGAACTGTTCTGCTTGATCCTATCAGTCAAATAATTAACAAAAGATTAGAAGAAAGCCACATTTCCCAGAATAAAGACTGGTAAAGAACAGGTGAGATTCATGGAGTTTTTACAGTAGTAATAACAGTAAATTGTCATTATGCAGGGATATAAAGATTCTAGTTTTTGACCTCATGAAGGACCAATGAATAGCTTTATTTTTTGTTAGGGGGGATTTCTTGGGGGAGGGTCTGTTTGTTTTTAAACAATTTGTCCCAGTCATCTCTTCCTTACATTCTTCTAATTTTCCATTCAGTCTTCAAATTGTAAATGACTTATTATCTTGATTATATACACAATACCACCCCAGCTGAAATTTCATTCAATATTTATTCATACTCTGTGGGGCGTTTCTAATTTCTTTATTTAAACTCACCAATATATTTGATTGAGTACATTATCTAGCATACTGCCATGTACCATTCCACTAACATGCTAAAGTGAGTCTGAATTGTATTTGCTGGCATGGAACATTAAAAACCTCAGCATCCAGATACCTAATTAACATGATTTTTATTATATACTACAATAATAATGAATATAAACCATAATGACCTCAGATCTGCTCCTAAACAGTATTAATTTACTAGACCAGTCAAACTGCCTGGATTCAAATCTGGGCCCAATTATTCACTACCTGTATAAACTTAGGAAAGCTGCTTCACTTCTCTGGTCTCCACTTCCCCATCTATAAAACAGTAATGTTACCTGACTCACAGAATGTAGAAATGGTGACTGGAACCTAGTCACTGCATAACAAATGTTAGCTCTTTTCTTTTCAGCTGGCAATTAAATTTCAGGGAGAATGAAATTAAAAATTCACTCAAATGTGTGTGTCATACATATAGACATACACACACTTTTTAAAAACCTTTTTCAACAGCTACCTAGATGCTTAAAAAAAAGCAATATAAGATAGTGGGTAAAGTACTTCAAATTTAGAAATTTGAAGATTTGGGTTTTAGCCCAGGTTATATCTCTCACGTGGCTGTGAGACTCTGGTAAGTCATTTAGCTCTTTAAACTTGACTGTTCTCAGGTGAGAGCTGAATGTCCCTTCCAGCTCCAAAATTCTTACATCATTAGAACTTTATTGAAAAAATCTGAGATGGCAAAACTCTTTTGTGTTTGATTAGACAATAAAGGCAAAGTTATTCATTCTACATATAGTTGGTATCTGGTACCTCTTACGTGCCAGATATGTATCATACAGTGATACAAAAGTCATTGAAAAGCTTGCTGCTTTCTCTCAATCCCAAAGTGCAATAAAGAACACAAGCATGCAATACATTACACTACAATGTGGCATGCATGCATTCATTCATTCATTCATTCATTCATCACTTCATTGAGACATATGTGCCAGTCACTGTCCTGAGTGTTTAGAATAGAATGATGGGTCAAAACAATCCTGGTAGTTATCTCCAGAGAGGCTACTATCCAACTTGCTAGACACATTAAGCAGATAACAACCACCTTTAAATTCTGTAAAGGTAACTAAGATACACAGTATTATAAAAGAGTGTAACAGGGAAAATGACCTGATCGGTGGGGACAGGCAGGTGGAGTGTTAGGGAAGGTTTCCCTAAAGGAATGACAATTGGGTTAGGACCCAAAAGATCAAAAGAGGAAAGATAGTTCCAGACACAGGAAACATGGGCCCTAATGGCAGATGGGGCTTAAAGGTTTTGAGAAACTGAAAGATTAGCACAAGTAAAAGTTTAAGAGAAAGGCAACTGGAGGTGTAGGCAGGGGCCAAAATATGCAGGGCCTTGTTTACGAGTCATAGTCGAAATTGTGGTCTTTATTCTTAAAGCAATAGTAAGATAAGTGACATGATCAGATTCGCATTTTTAAGTTACTATAGCTTTGGCTTGGAAAACAAACTGGAAGGAAGAAGAATGACTTGACATGGACTACCTAGGGAGCTATTGCACTCCAAGTGAAAAATGATGAAATAATAGATAATAAAAACCACACATGGGTTATAATCAGTGAGTCCTATACTACTAGCTTATGTACAAATTACAACAGTGAAATCAAAGGAAAAGGGATAGGGAAAGGTTCTACAGAGGTTAAGCTTTTACTACATCTTAGTAAATGGGCAGAAGAAACAAGAGGTGTAAAACATGGTAAAGTGAAAAAACACAGTAACAATCAAAAAAGGGAGGATTGGGGGCAGGTAATGGTATCCAAAATGAAGTATACAAAATAATCCACTAGACTAAAGGAGGAAAAGAGACTTCCATTCATGTTTTTATTATCTCAAAAATATGCTTCAACATTGAATATGTAAATTAGCAGTAATTCATGAATACAGAGAGTGTGTATGCTCAGTATCCTTTAAACTGGTGGAGACTGCATTTAAAGTTTGGAGTCCACTGATCTATGGGCAGGATGGGCTCCATCCAATATGAAGACTGGAAAAGCAGATCACTGCGTTAACTTGATTCTGTATGCAATGGGAAAGAACTGAAAAGATTTAATCAGAAGAATAACATGATCATGTTTAACGTCTACATTTTATGAAGACTAACCTAACATCTAAGTAAAAGAGTTTGGAAGCCTGGGGGAAACAAGATAAAGTAACTGCAGTAGCCCAGGCAAGAAATGGCCAGGCCTCCATTAAGCCAGTGGGATTAAATACGTAAAAGCAATTTTAAAGGTTCAGAACACAGAATTTAGTTTTGACTTAAAAGTGGGGCAAAGAGGAGTTTATTTTTAAAACCGCAGGTTTCTAGCCTCGGAGCAACCCCATAAGAAATGGGGTAGGCAGAAGATAAAACTTTGGACACAGATTTTCAAATGTCTGGACTACACAGGCCCCTTAACCAGCTTGAAATGCAGGCCTGAAAATGATCCTCAAGATGCAGACTGCAGAAGACTGAGGTCTTATCAAAGCGCAGGGGACAGTTAAAGCTTTAAGAAAGGCCAGAACGCCCTGTGAGCCAAAAATAAAACACCGCACCCACCTGACTCCTACCGAAGGGGAGAGCTTTGATTTAACACCAGAAAGTAAGCGCTGCCCTGTGTGCTCACGTGTCACCTGCAAGGGGGCACGCACTTGTCGGAGCCAAGGCTGAGATCCTCCCCGTCCCCAGAATCTGATTCCTTTAATTCACCGTTCTAAAAGGCTGATACAGACCGACAGAGTCCTATCCCGGCCCCTGTGACACCCTCCCCACAGTCCAGTGGGCCTCGGAAAAGGCTAACGACTACGGGAGGCTTCCCTCCCGGAGGTGTATCGGACATCTGCTGGGCGCTCACAGCCACGAGAAAGCTGTCCTCCCAGGGCCGGGTCGCGCAGAGGGCCTCACTCCTACCTCCGTCTGCTTAGTGGCCAAGCTGCCGAAAGACAAGAGCAACAATCCTACCAAGGCAGTCACACCCCTACGGAAAAAGCTGGTGGCACCCATTTTGGCCGGCTTGAGCCTCCCGCACCTGAAGGGGGCGGAGCAAGTGCCGTAAAGCAGCACGGCGGGTTTTACTGAGTTGGGTGTCTTGTTGTGTTTTTTTTTTTTTTGCTTTGCGACATCAGCCCCACCTCCTAGAGCCCCGACCGTCGCCAGCGTTTACGAAGTTAGCGGGTCCCCAGAGCTAGGGTCTTCCAGATTGCTGGGTGAAGATAGAGGGCATTGGTCCTTCACCTTTACTGCATTTTCAATTTTGGCATTATAAAATAGTTACTTTGAAAAAAGTTTTGAAAGGTGAGGAAGAAAAACCTGTGATTCCCATAAACTTATGAAGCTAATTCCTCTTTTGAGTAGGGCTGCCGATTCTTTGAATATATGAAGCAGGAATGCGCGAAGAGCAAGCCTCTGGGCACAAAAAGATGATTAACTGCATCAGTTGTACTGGTGGGTGCTGCAACAGGGTCTATGACTTATTGAAAGTAAGAATATGTAGAAATTAGTTATATGCTGCAACAGGTTTGGAGTCTATTACTTATTGAAAGTACGAACATGTAGAAATTAGTTATATATTTGTTCTTCCATAATTGTGGCGCTAAAACTCTTCTCAAAGACAGCCTAAGGATTTTTTAATAAGACCATATGTTTGTTCAATTATGTCTATTATATGCATTCAATTTTAAATTCTGTTTTGTTCAAATAGCATGGCATAAACATGTGTTTATGTTATATCGAGGCAAGAAACAGCAAACCTGGTCCAAACCTGTAAGAATTTTTTAGTTTATTTGAGCCAAACCGATGACAATTGCCAGGAAGCAAAATCTCGACGGATTGAGAAAATGCTCCGGAGAATGGCAGTTTTTCCCCTTCTACATTGGAACAGTGGCGAAGGCAATGGCAGGGTGAGGCGGTGTGGAGAGGAGTCAAGGCAGTCATAAGGTACAAACTATAAACCTCCACTTACCAGATAAATAAATCCTGGGAATGTAATGTACGACATGGTGTCCATAGTTAACAATAGTGTATTGTATGCAGTAGGCTCCCTTTATTCATGGTTTTGCTTTTCCCAACTTCAGTTATCCACGGTCAGTCACAATCCAAAAATAGTAAATGAAAGATTCCAGAAAAAAGCAACTCATAAGTTTTAATTTGCATACCATTCTGAAGGACGAAATGTCATGGTGTTCCACTTCATCCCACAAAGAACATGAGTCATCGTTTGTTTGGGGTAACCACAGTGTAAATGCTTCCCAGCTGTTAGTCGCTTAGTAGCCACCTTGATGATCAAATCCACTGTTGCAGCATCGCAGTGCTTGTGTTCAAGTAACCCTTAGAGTAAATTTATGCTACGTCACCATGCCTGCCTCATTCATCTCACTTCCTCTCATCACAAGGGCACTGTGTCATCTCACATCATCACAGGAAGGGTGAGTACAGCACAATAGGGTGCTTTGAGAGAGAGAGGGACCACATTCACATAACTATTACTACAATATACTGTTATAATTATTCTATTGTATTAGTAATTGTTCATCTCTCACTGTGCCTAATTTATAAATTAAACTTTATCATAGTTATGAATGTATAGGGAAAGTAGTATGCTTAGGGTTTAGTACCATCTGTGGTTCCTGGCATCCAGGGGGGGTCAGATAAGAGGAGACAACTACACAGTAAGTCCTCACTTAATGTCATCAATAGGTTCTTGAATGCTGACTTGAAGCAAAATGATGTAAAACAAAATTAATAATATCATAAGGCAATGATTTTCAACCTTTTTCATCTCATGGCACACATAAACTGCTAAAAATCTGTGGCACACCAAAAAGTATATTTTTTGCCAATTTAACAAAAATAGGTATAATTCTGATTGATTTACAAAAAAATAATAATCATAACTATCTACCCTTTTTGCTCCAAAGTCACTTTATAAAAAATCAGGTTCCTAAATGTATGTAAGGATTTCTGCTACCAAAAATTAACCAATCAGAACCAACTTTATGATGCAACATGACTAATAAGATGCATCTCCATTATATGGCTGATAAATTTATGGTTCAAGACAGAGCATTCACACTGGAAAGCTATTGTTGTGTTGGCTGTTGTAATTCTTTTAATTTGACAAAGGGAAGAGAGGTCAGTGCCTTTGCTTAATAGACTGGTATTACATATTTTAAAAATTCTTGCAGCGTACCAGTTGAAAATCTCTACCATAGGCTAATCCATATAAACAAGAGCTAAGTTCCTATGGCATATTTCTGGTGACAAATAACATCACCCAACTTCTTTGGAAGACCCAAAACACTTCAAATATTAAACATTGATACAGTGTGAACTATACATCCATTTAAGAAAGGTTACTAAAAACAAGTAGGATCATTACTTTCCCATCTGCTTATTCCAGTTCAGTTTGCAGGTGACTGGAGACCATTTGGGTGACTCAGAGTGACCTTCCATTGCTGGGTGCACACTCACCTACAACCACACTCAGATGGTGACAATATAGATATACCAGTTAACCCCACTTGCACATCTTTGGGATGTAGGAGGAAACCAGAGTTCCCAGAGAACCCAAGCAGACATGAGGAGAATGTGCAAACTTCACACAGACAGTAGCCCCAGCCAGAAACTGATACTATCCCCCTAATCAATGTTATAATGAACTGATGTTGAATGAAGCAACTTTATTCAAGGACCTGCTGTATTTGAAAGTTGCTAAGAGAATAGATCTTAAATGTCGTCATCACAAGAAAAAAATTGTAACTATGTGGTAATGGATATTAACTAAATTTATTGTAATCATTTTGCAATATATACATATATCAAATTATTACCTTGTACACCTAAAACTAACACAATCATATATCAATTTTATTTCAATTTAAAAAAAAATTGTTAACCAGAGTCAGCATTTGAACTATAATTCAATTTGATAATTCATTAAATGAATAATTGACTTAACTTAGCAACTAAAAGAGAAAATAAGCATTTGATTATCAGATCAAAATCACACATCCCTACACCATCATGGCTTCTCTATTACAAGTTTTTCTACCTGACCCTCACCATAAAAACACCATGAAGTCTATCCATGCTGTTTTTTACTATCATCCAAGTAATTACTCACAGTGGTTGTATTGACTCTAGTGTTAGGTCACTGTTGAGTTTTGCTCTTTGCTATTTCCCGTACCCCTGCTATATGTTCTTTTTCATTCTTTTATCTCTCTCCTCCTTTCTGTACCAAGAACGCCATTGTGGTGTTTACTGACTCAGTGGATATTTATTCAGCATCAATTCTGTACCATATATTGTACTAGTCACGGGCAATAGAAAAGAGAGCAAACCCTGAGCAAGTCCCTGCCCGCCAGGAGCTTAGTGTCTAAAAGAGGCAGATATTAACAATAGAAGCATTTATGCAAATGTAAAAGTCTAACAGGAAAGTTCCTAGTTGGGGACACACCCTTGTAAGAAAAACCAGAGTAGGTTTCCCTGAAAAAACAGATGGAACAGAAATAAAAAATGGCAGGGAGGGAAGAGCTTTCAAGGCGGAGGAAACAACTCTTGCAAAGCACCTATGGCAGAAGGGAGGTTGGCTTATCAGAAAAACACTTTTAAATGGCTTTGTGCTTTCAGTTCAAAGAACAGAAGAGAGAGTGCTGCAAGAAGAAGCTGCATTGCCAAGCAGGTGCCACCTCCTTCCAATCTTCAGGGTCAAGTCATGGAAAGCCTCAGGACGGTAAAGATCATGTTGGCTGGGATAAGGAGAATGGCTGCAGAGCATTTGGCAGGTCATGGCTGCAGTCCAGACAATGGTGGCCTGGACCAGACTGGTAAGAGTGGAAACAATGAAAAGTGGACAGAACCAAAAAGGTTCTTTAAGAAGCAACCTACAGATTACTTTAAGATTACAACCTACAGAACATAATGATGGATTATATTTGGGAAGTGGAAGAGGGAACAATTTCAAGGATGACTTTTGGATATCTGACTTGTACAACTGAATGTATGTATGTTAATGCCATTTTTTAAAATCTAAGAATCACAGGAAGTAGACCAGTTTTAAGATTCAAATACAAGTGAGATCAGGGTTCAAATTTACCCAAAGTAATTTGAAAAACAAACTTCCATAAATTTATTATAAATATGTTGGTGACTACTAAGTAAATCTTCACACAAAATAAAGTGAGTGGAAAAGATAAATTTAATCAGGATCAGAATGTGGCGCCAAAGAGAGATTTTACAATGTGCTTTATACTATAGGGTCATCACTGCAGGCAAGTCTATTTGCTACAAGAATCAGCACCACAGGTTTTGATGGAAACATTTCATATCTAATGGTCAAAATGTTTCTTTGAGCAAAGTAAAATTCAGTGAAAGGAAATTAGATGTATAATAAAATACAAATAGAAAAAAATTAAAATAAAGCAAAAGGGCTTTCTTTCCAGTGTATTTGTATCATTTTCTAGTACTGATTTTAATATTGAGCCACCTTAAACTCCATGTCAGTTTGGCCTCAGATATTTTTCTTCCCCCCTTCCAATAAGCCACTTAATAATAGTTCAGTGTTCTGTTGTGATCAATTTCCATCTCAGGACCTCCTCATTAGCTTCAGAACTAACTCATAATAACATTGCTACAATGCTGGAGTCGAGCAGCTGCCCTTCAAGGTCTGATTTGAAATCTTGTGTTGTCATTAAGACGCCACAATGACCCACAGAGAAAGTCATGTTGCATGCTTTAGTGATGAAAAATTTAGTATCTCATTAGTGGTGCAATCCTCCCTCATCAGTCAAGAGGCCACTGCTTCCATTGGTATAAAGCTAATTATAGATTAGAGTTCAGTACTCCATGAGCTGAGAATTTCCTACAAATACAATTGATTTTATTGAATTGATTTTTATTCATCAGTATATTGTTTTTATTTATCAAGCATTTTATGAGACTCTCTGAAGTCCCAAGGACATTTAATAAATGTCTTAATTATCATGTGTTTTGTAAAGAGTGGGACATCCTGAAAGGCCTCTCTTAGGAAGATGAT